TGTTTAGAACGAAGAAGACTAGTGGGGATAAAATGAAATGGACTAATGTTATCGCTTCTTTTCCCACTTTTTTATACTACGTTTTAAAAATATGGTAATCACTTCTTTCTGCTTACAGATTTTGTTTTTCTAAAAATTCTTAGATTTCAAATTAATTGCAAAAAAATCTAAATGGTGGATTTTGTAAGGTTAAAAGCATTCTGTTATCCATTCAACGAGATTTTTGATTCAAAAAAAAAAAAACTAAATACATATCTTACGAACTGGATTAGACGCGTAATTTAATGATAAAATCGTAAATAATAATGTATTGATTTCGCGCTTGTTTTAAATTAATATAGTGAATCATTAGATTATATAACATGTTATTTTTCAAAAAACACGCGCGAAAGTAAAACATCGTTATTTATGATTTTGTAGTTAAATTACGCGCGAAATTAACAGAAATTTGTATTTACAGTTTTTTTTATCGCCACGTCATTTTGATAAATAAATTTTTAAATTTCGAATAGTCAACAAATTAACGCTTTAATTTGCATACCAGAAGAAAAAACAAAGAATGATAATAACAACATCAAATTACTGCCAAAATCCCACATATTTTGTTCTCACACTAATTGCATCTCAAATGTTGACCAGAAAAGTACCAAAACATTTTTTTTCAGACTAATAAATCCGAAAAGTTGACCAAAAAAGTTTACCAAAACATGTATATTACAATACTTTAAAGAGTAACCCCAAAGGAGCAGAATTTCACAGGATATTTCATTTTATTTTTGAATTAAATTGTAGGTTATATCATGATATGTACACTAAATAACTTCATTCGCCACTTTCACATGGTATTGACTATTGTAGGTAGGGTTATTGGACATGGTTCACGTGCATGTTTCCTTTATTAAAAAAAAAATGTTAGAGTTGCCTTTGGTAAAGTTTCCTGGTGGTATTTTTTCATGGAACATTTGTTCATATGTTCATCAAAATAGATGTTTTAATAAAAATAGAAAAATTTCAAAAATGTCACTTTTTAAAAATGCCACATTTTTGAAATCTTTACAAAAAATGCTATTTTTCAAAATTATTTTTTCTTTATATTATTTATGTTTGGGTTAGTTATGTTCTATTAGGGTTTAGTTTTGAGTGTTTAGGGGGTTTTAGGTGTCAAAACATTTTTTAGGGTTTAGAATTTTAAGATATAGGCTTTATAAATCTATAATTAGTGGCATTTTTGTACATAGACACATCTAAATGGCATTCTTAAAAATGTGCACACAAAAAGTGACATTTTTGTAATTGCCCCATAAAAATATTACTTCTCTGTTTCATAATAAAAATAGATGTTTAATTTTTTTAACTTAATGTTTATGGCCTTAGGGTTAATTGGCTTAATAACTCCAAA